AAGCTCCCAAGCAAATCCCGAATGATCAAGAAAGCTCTCTTCATTCTTCGTCAACCCAACCTTCAAGATCAAGCCCCAACAGCCATTTGAAGGAACTTCCACCAATTCAAGATCAAGCCCCGACGACCTTTAATAAGGCGTTTATCGTTCATCATCCGTTCATTCTAAGATCAAGCCTCAATGGCCCTTTGGATCAACAACATCAACAAATCCACACATCCAACCATTCTTCAAGATAAAGCCCAAAAGCCCTTGAAGATCCATTCATCAGCTGTTCATCAAGATCAAGCCCCTAAGGCCCTTGAAGATCCGTTCATCAACAGTTCTTCAAGATCAAGCCCAAAAGCCCTTGAAGATCCATCCATCAAATGTTCATCAAGATCAAGCCTCAAAAGGCCCCTTGAAGATCCGTTCATCAACAGTTCTTCAGATCAAGCCCAAAAGCCCTTGAAGATCCGTTCATCAATCAACCTTCAAGATCAAGCCTAAAAGGCCCTCTTGAAGAAACTTCCAACCATTCATCTGAGGTCAAGCCTCGACGGCCCTTGGATCAGCATCACAATCCACAAATCAACACCTTACGGAGATCGAATCAGAGGATCAAATTTGAGAGAGATTGTAACCCCTATCATTAATACAAAATATTATTTTGTACACGTGTTCTTGTCTCGTTTGTTTCAAGAAAATTTCGTGTTTACACTAACACTTACAACATATGACAACACAAACACACCAACTTATGCCCAACACCCCAACAAAAACAACGAACTTTATTCTTTTTCAATGGGAGAAAACCAACCAAACATCTACTCCTTCAAGTAATATGGAGCTTGGGGAGGAACATAATTCATGGCCAAGTACATAGAGCTACAAGCATGGACAGAACGAGGATGATCGAGTTCATTATCTTCTTCTTCACCACACGCGATCTCCTTATTGCCAAACATTCTGGCTACCGGAACTCCTGGGAAGTTGTCAGCAAACGGCTTACAATCAACATTAGGTCTATCGAACATCAACGCGCCGCGTTTCTTGCTGGAGAAGATAAACCCTCCGAACACCTCTGGCTGGATTTCGGAATCATTATGGACAAAAGTTTGAAGGTTATCAGATGCATAATCAATGGTGTTCAATGCAGTTGCAGCATCTGAATGGTAGAAGAAGAAGACGTCGTCGGGTTGGATTCCCACACCATCAACAAGAATGAAGTGCCCATATCCCCTGTTACAAATTTCAAACACAAACATAGATGGGGTGTGTGTGTAAATCAAAGGGGGCATTGGAGCGAGCAAAAAGTGCAATCACACATGCCTCAATTTTAAAGGACCTCCAAATTTTTGTCATCTAATATTTATATGTAATAGTTCTATATATTAAAAAATTTACTTTTATTAGCACTTTAAAATATCATTGTGTAGTTTTTATATGTGTAAATTCTTTTCTTTCTAAGTATTAAAATTTGGAATGCATAATGAGATACATGGAGTGTCAATGACAACACGTTGAAAAAAGGTTTCTTTTTTTTTTCAATTTTATTATTTAATAATGCTATATATTCAAATGAAACTTTAAAATTAGAGTTTTTGAAGTTTTTTTTCTTGTTTGTTTGTTTAAGATTGAAATTGTGACAACCCGTCCCTAATTGTACGTTTTTATTAATTTTAAAAGCATGAATTTACGAAAATACCCTAGAGGTAAGGACTTTGACTTGCATTGGCCATCGTCTAGAGAAACGTAAGACTTATTCCTTTAGCGTATTTGTGTAGTATTCGTTGGTACGAACACATAGGCGAAAGCCGTTTACAAGTCCAGTTTATATCGGTATAGTTACGAACATTCGAAATTGGTTATTTTAAGTTTAGTGTTAATTAAATGGAACTCCCATCTTATGGGAGGAAGAACCAATGAGCTTTTGGAAAGGAAGGAAGAAAGGAGAGGGGAGGAAGAGAGCACAGGAGGGAGATGGACGAATTGGGAGAGGGGAGAGGAAGAAACTACCAAATCAGAAAGAGAAGAAAGGAGGGAAAGGAGGAAAAGAGAAAATGAAGGGGGAAAACGAGTCATCCCATGACCCGCGTGACTCGAAGAAAGCCACAGCCAAATTTGACCATTTTCCGACGAATTAAAGCAAACCACTACCTAGAAACTACTCCCTAGTCTTCCCTCTTCCATATCCACCTAGAATTTGAAGGAATTTGGGTGTAAATTCATCAAAGAGCCGATGTCAGGGTTAAGGGTTTGTGGTGGCCTCCCTAGTCTTCCCTCTTCCACTTTACCCCCTGATGTTTTACCTTTATTTACACTAATCATGATGAGTATTCTTGCCTTAAAAGTAATACAAACTCTATAAAGATTTGATCTCCAAAGCCTATTGGGACCCTACTCTAAGTTTACACAATCATATTACTAAATAAACACATTAATGACAACAATTCTTCACTCAAGACATCTAGAAATTTTCACAATTATTTTTAACATCTTATACACCTCACTTTATTTCTAACAATTGGATTGAATAAAAAGAAACATTGATCTTAGCATTGCAACAAAGCTCACATGTCTTGGACTCGGTTGGGGGAATACTTCAACTCTCAAGCCGGGCACATATCCAACCGAGACGACAATGCCTCGGTGGATCGTTTTTGTGTTCCGTGCAGAATTACCCTGAGCCCAGTTCACCTACACAAACATTACAATGTTCAACAACATGATCTTAATTGGTGCCCAAATGTTATTAACCAAACTTTAAAATTTTCATAAAATTAAGAACATGCCTCGTTCAGATTATGAGTTTCGACATCAGTGTCGATTGATGTACGGTTCAGATTGTTCCACACAAATAATTTAATTTTAAGCTCATATTATGCTTAAAATTTGAACATAAACGTAATTACATGATACTTAAGTGTTGTTAGTCACGGATGTTTGATAACGTAATAATTGAATCTAGACTCACCGAGTTGTTTTTAACTCATATGTTGGTCTTGACAAAATTGTTAAAACCCAGTTAAATAGTAATTGTTCTTATAGGCTTGTGTTTAAATCCTTTGTTCCACACAAATAATTTAATTTTAAGCTCATATTATGCTTAAGATTTGAACATAAACGTAATTACATGATACTTAAGTGTTAATAGCACAATCATTTCGAATTACAAAAAAGAAACTCTAAAAACATGTGATTATTGGAGCTTACTTAGGTGTATTATGAATGATTTATGTGCTTTAGGCATTTAAGATTTGGAATTGGCATGTTTTTAGCAACTTCTGCAATTTAGTGTTTTGGAATCCTTTTCTTTTTTCTTTTTTGATATACCCACACATATGGATCAACATATAAAATGCATATAGCGTAGAACAATAATCATAGTATTCATAGCATAAAATAACTTGAAACCAAAGAGATTAGGGTTTAGTATTTCTTGGATGTTGATGAAGAAGGTGAAAAGCTTTCACAAGGTTTCTTTCGGAGATCTCTCCTTCTCGCAAAGAGAGACATTTCGTGTTGATAACGTGTTGTAATACTAACTTTGAGAAGGATGAGAGACAAGGACGACCGAGAGAAAGAAGGGCCAAGGTGTTTGAGAATTGTATGGTCGCCCCCTGATGTTTTACCTTTATTTACACTAATCATGATGGGCATTCTTGCCTTAAAAGTAATACAAACTCTATAAAGATTTGATCTCCAAAGCCTATTGGGACCCTACTCTAAGTTTACACAATCATATTACTAAATAAACACATTAATGACAACAATTCTTCACTCAAGACATCTAGAAATTTTCACAATTATTTTTAACATCTTATACACCTCACTTTATTTCTAACAATTGGATTGAATAAAAAGAAACATTGATCTTAGCATTGCAACAAAGCTCACATGTCTTGGACTCGGTTGGGGGAATACTTCAACTCTCAAGCCGGGCACATATCCAACCGAGACGACAATGCCTCGGTGGATCGTTTCTGCGTTCCGTGTAGAATTACCCTGAGCCCAGTTCACCTACACAAACATTACAATGTTCAACAACATGATCTTAATTGGTGCCCAAATGTTATTAACTAAACTTTAAAATTTTCATAAAATTAAGAACATGCCTCGTTCAGATTATGAGTTTCGACATCAGTGCCGATTGATGTACGGTTCAGATTGTTCCACACAAATAATTTAATTTTAAGCTCATATTATGCTTAAAATTTGAACATAAACGTAATTACATGATACTTAAGTGTTGTTAGTCACGGATGTTTGATAACATAACAATCGAATCTAGACTCACTGAGTTGTTTTTAACTCATATGTTGGTTTTGACAAAATTGTTAAAACCCAGTTAAATAGTAATTGTTCTTATAGGCTTGTGTTTAAATCCTTTGTTCCACACAAATAATTTAATTTTAAGCTCATATTATGCTTAAGATTTGAACATAAACGTAATTACATGATACTTAAGTGTTAATAGCATAATCATTTCGAATTACAAAAAAGAAACTCTAAAAACATGTGATTATTGGAGCTTACTTAGGTGTATTATGAATGATTTATGTGCTTTAGGCATTTAAGATTTGGAATTGGCATGTTTTTATCAACTTCTGCAATTTAATGTTTTGGAATCCTTTTCTTTTTTTCTTTTTTGATATACCCACACATATAGATCAACATATAAAATGCATATAGCGTAGAACAATAATCATAGTATTCATAGAATAAAATAACTTGAAACCAAAGAGATTAGGGTTTAGTATTTCTTGGATGTTGATGAAGATGGTGAAAAGCTTTCGCAAGGTTTCTTTCGGAGATCTCTCCTTTTCGCAAAGAGAGACATTTCGTGTTGATAACGTGTTGTAATACTAACTTTGAGAAGGGTGAGAGACAAGGACGACCGAGAGAAAGAAGGGCCAAGGTGTTTGAGAATTGTATGGTCACCCCCTGATGTTTTACCTTTATTTACACTAATCATGATGGGCATTCTTGCCTTAAAAGTAATACAAACTCTATAAAGATTTGATCTCCAAAGCCTATTGGGACCCTACTCTAAGTTTACACAATCATATTACTAAATAAACACATTAATGACAACAATTCTTCACTCAAGACATCTAGAAATTTTCACAATTATTTTTAACATCTTATACACCTCACTTTATTTCTAACAATTGGATTGAATAAAAAGAAACATTGATCTTAGCATTGCAACAAAGTTCACATCTCGGTTGGGGGAATACTTCAACTCTCAAGCCGGGCACATATCCAACCGAGACGACAATGCCTCGGTGGATCGTTTCTGCGTTCCGTGCATAATTACCCTGAGCCCAGTTCACCTACACAAACATTATAATGTTCAACAACATGATCTTAATTGGTGCCCAAATGTTATTAAAACTTTAAAATTTTCATAAAATTAAGAAAATGCCTCGTTCAGATTATGAGCTTCGACATCAGTGCCGATTAATCCCATAGTTCTGTTGGTAATGATTGGAACTCCACAACCTATTTTCTCAGTGATCTGCTTGTTGATGCCATAACAATTAATAAAAAATAAAAAAAATAAAAAAACTACCAAAAAAAAAAGGCTAAAAAAAAACTAAAATTTACAAGTTGGTGAGTTTCTTCCAAGCTGAAATTTGTTCCAATGTATGCGACAATGAAGTCCAATCAAATTGGCTTTAGAGAAAACCTCGTCAAGAACTTCATCTATCGCATTCTTCAAAAATGAACAACCAAGGTTTAAAAAAACAGAGCATTTAAGGAAACAAAGAATTTTAAGAAAACAGAGTATTTAAGGAAAACAGAGCATTTAGTAAAACAGAGTAATTAAAGACATACGTGCAGGTCGGGGTTAAGAGAAAGGGCAGAAGAAAATTTGGGTCGAGAGAGCATTTGGCCAAAGTTCTTGTTCCAATTTGTGTTGACGCCGACTGCTGATGAGAACTCAACCCCCGGTAGCCTCCCCAGAATGTTCTGCAAAATTTCGTCGTCGACCCGAGAAAACACTCCTTGTTCACGACCAATTTTCAGTTGTTCAACCGCCATCGAATTACCCTTACCACCTCTGCTTTGTCTTTGAGAACAAAACATGATTTTGTTTTGAGTTAATCATCAAAAGGTGGTTCTTTTTTGCATGAACACCATAGACTTTTCTATCTACTCTGGGAAAGAGATCAATCCAATAAAACATTCTATTACATGTGGAGCCAACAAGGAAAAGCATAAATTTAATGGGGTTTTGGATTCTCTGAATTTACCATTTCGGTGTGAGCAGTACGTTACGAATGAGCGTCGTCAGCGTGTTATAGAGTTAATCTTAGTCGTACATTCATGTGAAGCCTATATTGATGTACAGTTCAGATTGTGCGCTCCAATGCGGTGTTTACCTGTGATTCTACTATAATCATATCTATATTCAATTATGGCAAATTTTGTCTTAAAATAGTTTGTCGGTTTTTACCTAAATATTAGAAACACAATTAATTCGTATCTGGTCATATTGAATTCTTTAAAAAGTCGTATGTCTTTTTCGTCACGGAAACGTAATAATTGAATCTAGACTCATTGAGTTGTTTTTAACTCGTATGTCAGTTTTGACATAAATGTTAAAACCTAGTTAAATACTAATTGTTCTTGCAGACTTGTGTTTAAATCCTTTGTTCCACACAAATAATTTAATTTTAAGCTCATATTATGCTTAAGATTTGAACATAAATGTAATTACATGATATTTAAGTGCTAATAGCACAACCATTGCGAATTACAATAACGAAACTCTAAAAACATGTAATTATTGGAGCTTCCTTAGGTGTATTATGAATGATTTATGTGCTTTAGGCATTTAAGATTTGGACTTGGCATGTTTTTATCAACTTCTGCAATTTAGGGTTTAGGAATCCTTTTCTTTTATTTTATTTTTTTGATATACCCACACATCTAGATCAACATATAAAATGCATATAGCGTAGAACAATAATCATAGTATTCATAGCCTAAAATAACTTGAAACCAAAGAGATAGGGTTTAGAATTTCTTGGATGTTGATGAAGATGGTGAAAAGCTTTCGTGAGGTTTCTTTCGGGGATCTCTCCTTCTCGCAAAGAGAGACATTTCATCCTGATAACGTGTTGTAATACTAACTTTGAGAAGGGTGAGAGACAAGGACGACCGAGAGAAAGAAGGGCCAAGGTGTTTGAGAATTGTATGGTCACCCCCTGATGTTTTACCTTTATTTATATTAATCATGATGGGCATTCTTGCTTTAAAAGTAATACAAACTCTATAAAGATTTGATCTCCAAAACCTATTGGGACCCTACTCTAAGTTTACTCAATCATATCACTAAATAAACACATTAATGCCAACAACTATTCACTCAAGACATCTAGAAATTTTCACAATTATTTTTAAGGAAAACTAATGAAAAGGGCTTGAAAACTTTGAGTTTTAATGATAAGGACAAAATAAAGGGTAAAGTGAATAGTACAAGGATTGACTTTTTAGTGTAAAAATGTGGTTTTTCGTTAAAGTGAACAGTACCGGGTGCTTTTCGTTAAAGTTCCCTTATTTTTAACATCTTATACACCTCTCTTTATTTCTAACCATTGGAGTGAATAAATCAAAGAAAACAACGGACATGATTAGTATAAAAAGAAAAAAATGATGCGTGTTCATCATTTCTCTAGAAATATAAGAAAGAAAATATTCTTAAAATTAGTCTCTTGATTTTTGTTTTTAAATGCCAAAGCATTTTTGCACAACAGTGATTGCAAAAGCATTTTTGTCCATCACGATTAATAAGGAGCCCATATAATTAATCCTAGTTGAAGAGTGTATAAATAAATGGTATACTTATGTTTACACGAACAAAAGAAAAGGCATCTAAAATCATACAAAGAGGTTCTAACTTCCACTCTGCAACAACTGATCTGGAAATCCTGCAAATAATTTTTGCTACTGCCAATGAAAAGGAAGTGTTTGAGGGGATTGATGGTGTTGATTCCCATTGCCCTGAGAACCATCAGAGATTAACCGAAACATTCCAGGGCAATGGACATTTGCATCACCACTTCCATTGGAGACCATAACTGAATCCATGGGCTCCATGGAACTGTTGTTTCTGCGTAGACCGTTGGGGCCTAGTCGTTGTTGCATCAGAGAGATTGAATTAGGCTGCTGCACTGTGTGTCTCAAACCTATTTCAGATGTCTGCTGCGTCTGCGGTGATGACAGAAGAGAGAGAGCACAGTCCGAATCATGGATTTGAGTTGTTAACCGGTCACAAAACATCTTGCTCTTTGTTGTCCCACCACCACCACTAGCAGTTTCGGAGAATGAAATGGTGTTGAGAAGGGGTTGGCAGACAGAAGTGCCATGATGATGAGATGTTTGGTGGTTGTGGTGGAGTGGAGAGCTGTTGCTGCTCTGGAAGAGTGAGAACTGCTTTCCTCCCTTGTAACCGCTGCTGCTAGTGCTGACTGAGGACCCAAGGAACATGTTTTGCTTATCGATCAATGGCAGTTGGAGGTTATGAACTCCGGGATCTGGCTCAGTTTTGACAATGCCGGTGGCCCAGGTAGGGTTTATGACATTGGTGGAGGGGTATACAAGTGAACTAGAGAATGGTAACAATTGTGTACCTGCAACAAGTGGAAAATCAAATTTTAGTGCAATAAATCCACATTGGTTTTTTCTCAGCTTACCCTCTCAGCATCCGTTCGTGCGAAAGTTCAATTTAAACACTCATACAAGGTTGTGATTCATGATCAGTTTAGTGACAGCAGAGAAATTAAGCAGCACCTGACAGGAAGATTAATAGTTCCGAAGAATCTTAAAAAAAATGATTTGAAGAGAAGGATCTGCTAGATGGCCACTAGATCATCAACTGTGGCAGGACCACCACACATAGTTGATGAAGCACTCAACCAAGTGGATGTTCAAATAAAATGCCTGCTTTCACAGCTTTAATTTTGATAAAGTACTTCCCCACAAACAAAGGTTGCAGCTAACCTTGGTAACTGGACAGAAAACTTCCCGGGCGTGACAAGGGTTCTGGTTGAGGCTTCCTTCGCCGCCGGTTGTGTCCATCAAGACGTTTCCTGCAACTTCTCTTTCCCTCATCAAATTCCTCCGGAGCATGGAACCTTCAGAAAGAAAAAAAAAAAAGCTCACGTAAGGGACTTGATCTTGCCAGGATCCTGGCTCAAAACAGAGGGAATAACTCATGCGAATGAAGCTATCGAATACGCACATATAAGTTGAAACATTTGCTAGCTTATCACTGAAGTTCCATAAAAAAAATAATACACACAATACAAGAGTCCAGCTAAAATTAGGAGTTAACAAAAAGGATGTGCAATTTGTTCTATATCGAAGCAAGTAAGCGGCTGGAAAGAAAATTTCAGCTCAGTATAGTGGCAATTCTGTATGAGGATCCTTCGAAACAACACTGATCAACTAGCTTAACCTTTATCTCATAAGTAACAGGGATCGGCGCACTAAACGAATTCAATGAAGCATTGCGGAAACATAAGATGGCCTTAAATATGCACTTTTTATGTGATGTCTCCACAATTATAGCACTAAACAAAACTACATGATGATCCATTAAGGCAGCAGAATGCAAGATGGATGAACAAACTCCAATTGACAATAATTTCGGATGATCGTTTTACAAATGAAATCGAAATGCAAATTCAAAATATGCAAATGAAACATTCATCAAATCTCATACCTGCTACACTGCTGGCAAAATCGTTGCTTGTTACCGTTAATAGTGACCTGAGGAGTCTTTGAATGTAGCTCACAGACCTTATGCCGCCGATGGTAATCCCTACAAGTACTAAGGTCCGAATTGCATCCATCAACGAGGCATGAAACCATCTGAGATCCACTGTAAGCCGCTCTAGACCTCTTTAATGGTCCAGAAGGAGATGATGAGGTAGTTTTCAGACCACCTGGCTCCTTCAGCATACCCACCAGCTCATTATTCCCAGAGCCACCCAACTGACCAAGCTTCAAATCAACCGAAAAGTTGCTGCCTTTGAAAGTCCTATGATCTCCAAAGCTGCTAGACCCATCAACTATAGTGTCTAAGTTAGAAAAGGTTCCTTGTTCTAGTTCAGGCAAATCCCAAGAAGCTGCTTTCAAGTTCCAGTCCATAAAAGCACTTATTTCAAAAGCTGCTTGTTCTGACTACTCCTTTTTGCTTTCCCCACCCTCCCTCCCTCAACCACCCTCAATTAAGCTTCTATCTTGCTGTTTGTAATTGTAACACCTTTAATAAGAATGCAATTTCAAAAATTCACACAACAAACAACATGAACGGATTAAAATTACCAAAATTAACCACATCAGAAATCAAATTATGCAAAGATTTAGTTCCGGATTAGCTTATGGACTCTCAAATTCAAAAGGGTATTAATGTATTACATCATATAAAACAGCAATATGCAGAATTAAGAAGAATTGACTACTTAACAAAGAAAACACAAAGAAGGAAAGCAAGAAATGCAGCTCTGGACATTGCAATTTTTTAGAACCCCAGACTAGAAAGTCAGAGACTTCAGTTCTTTCCAATAAATTAATGATATGGAAGCAGTGTTTTCCCAAGAATTTGGGAAGCTAAGAAGATGGAAAACTTTACTATTTTAGACCATTATTAAACAAATAAATAAAAACAAACGAACAAAGAGAGAGTGAGAGAGGAGGAGGAGAGAGAGAGTAAACTTACAGATAAGTGGTGCAGAAGAAGTATGGTTTTCCAGCCATTTATTCACTGACATGGATTGCATTAATAACCAATAAAGTGGGTAGTAAAGGAAATAAAATATAAAGCTAAAGCTTAAAAATTGATTAGTTGGGGGTGTGTAGGTTAGGAAGTGAAGAATCACTTATTGTACCCGTCTGCAAAATACCATTGGAGGTATCTGCTGCACAACACACACTGAAGAGAAAGTAGAGAGAGAGAGAGAGAGAGAGAGGCACTACAAAGAAGGGGCCAGTCTCACTTGAGCTTTATTAAAATATTTCTTTTTGTCCATTTTAGGGTTTGTATGAAATTTTGGTGAGGGAGGAGAGAAGAGAAAATAGCGACAGTTTGCTTGTAGCTTTCAGACTTTCACAAACCAAAGAAAAAGAAGTACAAGGATGGATGCTCAGGACAACCCATGTG